GTGGAAAAGGAAGGGCGCCTTTTGCGTCTGGATATACTTAGCAACAGAAGGGCGCCCTGTACGTTGGGCACGAAGTATAGGAAACTTGCATGGTTAAAAAGAAGGGCGCCGCCTACGTTGGGCACAACTTCCGCCTCATTTTTACAATGCGAGAACTCTATCTTGTATTTCTAGTATCTTTGATAATACTAAAGCGCTAACCGCAATGTATTCGATGTTCGAAATACGCAGAACTGTGTGGGTACCATCCAAGATGGCTGCCATAGATTTAGCCAATCAAATTTCGCTAAGCACCATCGTTTGCAATTGCGCCCTCAATTTACTCAGAGGGTTCAGTACAGCTAGCTACCTGTATGTTTGAAACTCGAGCGTTGCGGTGTTTGGGTGTAATGTACACGATTTTAATTTTAATTCCTTGGTACTTTATTTTTGAATAAGATGCTCCACTTGGCCTCGTTTTGGCTACAATAGTTCAATAATTTGTTATTACCATTACTCATTATTATTAATGAAATAATAGTCAGTCAGAGGACTTATTAATATGTAATAATATGTATACTAAGCCTGAAAGTGGCTGTTTACTACGACGGCCATCTTGGATGGTACACATACATAACTCTGCATTGCTGCGCCATCTTGTCAACACTCTAGTTGTTTAAGAGCTCTATGGATTACTCGTGCAACAGAAAAAAACGTCGCATGGAGTTAGTGAAAAATGGAGATCTAAATGAAAAAACGATGTATTTCAGCAGGTATTAAAACCTTTTTGTTTTATTTTAGGCCTTCTTCAAAATACCTATGCCACAGCAGTTGATTTTTTTTTGCCGGAAAACCAAAATAGTTTCATGCATGCCGACTTGCCGATCGGTTAGCGTGAGACCTGACTGAACTCTGCAGAAAATCCACATCAAACTTCGCATCGCGATGTAAAACAAAATGTCGGAAAACTTTTCTTTGACGCATGCGCATTTGCATAAATGTCTACACACATACTACACACAATAAAAAACAAAAGAAATGTGAAAAGTGATTACAATAGTTCCTATTGCATTACATGCATAGGAACTAAAAATGAAAACATATTTATTAATTTATGTAATTCATGCATTTATTTCAATATTTTCTGGTCACTTGCATATTTTCCCACATTTGCTAATGAATGCAAAAACCCCTGTATTTTATGGTAAAATAAATAAATTGGTTCATTTCATAGCATGTTGTCATATATTTGAATAATCCACAGTGTGTGCATGTCCATCCGCAAACATAAATCAACTGGAAATGTGACATCATAATAGAGAAGTTAAATCCCTTCTTTCTAAACTCATTTCAAAACATTGAACTCCCACATTTTACTCTGTATATAGGTACTTCCTCCTCTTTAATTTCATCCATAGTATTGTCCATTTCTACTGTCATCCTTTACCCACTTCCTCCTTAATTTCCTCGAAAGTATTGTCTATTTCTACTGCCTTCCTCTTTTCCAACCAGCATCACATCCATGTTCCTTTGTCACAAAATAAAAATGTACTGCCAGTTCTTGTTCCCATTTGCTTAAATCTTGTCACACAACCCATATTGATCACTAAAACATCTAAACTGTCTGGTTTCCAGAATGCCAGTGGCATCAGTGCCTTATGGATCTTGGATTGGACTATCCAATAACCTAGGGGAAACCTGGCATCATTGCCTTCGAAAGAATCTTGGACTATCCAGTAATCTAGGGGAAAGCTGGCATCAGTGACTTATGGATCTTGGACTATCCAGTAATCTAGGGGAAACCTGGCATCATTGCCTTATGGATCTTGGACTATTCAGTAATCTAGGGGAAAGCTGGCATCAGTGCCTTATGGATCTTAGACTATCCAATAACCCCGGGGAAAGCTGGCATCAGTGCCTTATGGAAATTGGACTATCCAATAACCCTGGGGAAAGCTGGCATCAGTGCCTTATGGAAATTGGACTATCCAATAACCCTGGGGAAAGCTGGCATCAGCTGCCTTATGGATCTTGGACTATCCAGTAATCCAAGGGAAAGCTGACATCAACTGCCTTATGGATCTTGGACTATCCAATAACCTAGGGGAAAGCTGGTATTATCACCTTATGGATCTTGGACCATCCAGTAATCTAGGGGAAACCTGGCATTAGTGCCTTATGGAACTTGGACTATCCAGTAATCTAGAGGAAAGCTGGCATCAGTGCCTTATAGATCTAATTGCGAAGCACTTCTACAAATGCATCACAATAAAATGCAATGCAATTACTTGGCGAGAATTACCGGCTCAGTCTTCATCAAGGCCTGGCTGTAAAAACTAAGATGCTTGGTGCACAAAAAAGTCCCCAAAATTATTTTAAAAACAGTCAACATCAAGTTGTTATTCAACATTTTGGGCCAAAAATAGAGCAATATGTTTGTTTACATCGAGTGCACACATACAATGCTACATGTACATCGTTGTTCATGCAGCTGGTTTGAGTACGAGTACAATAATAATAAATAATAAATAATAAATTGGAGAATTTGTATAGCGCCTGTTTAAAAAATAATTTTTTGTCACTGGCGCTTAAAGATAAAAGAGTTATTGATTAAAGAGATAGGTTTTAAGGAGGGTCTTGAATGCATCAATATCAGAAGTTGATATTAGATTAGGTGGAAGAGAGTTCCATAATTTCGAAGCGGCAAAAGAGAAAGACCGTTCGCCAGTATGAACATGTAGCACTCTGGGGACAGATAACCTGAGAGAATTTGACTGTCTTGTGGAACGTGAAGATAATTGTTGTGAGATTGATGAAGAAAGATAGTGGGGGAGTAGCCATATATGCATTTATGAGCAAAAAGAATAATTTTGAAGTTTAGGCGTTTACTTATCAGTAGCCAATGATGGTCTTTCAAGATAGGTGAAACATGATCACAAAGTTTAGTGAGACAGACAACATGTGCTGCTGAGTTCTGAGGCTTTTGCAAGGGTCTTAATTGAATAGTAGAGGTCCATACAATAAAGAGTAATAATATTAGCTCACATTTTGCCATTCCCTCCGTTCTGCTTCTCCTGTAGATTGCTTTCGCTTACACACATGTTTATAGAGTGAGGAGTAATGTTGCTTTATGTCATGTATGTACTAGTATGGCAGGTCATGCACGTGTGTAGTATGCAAATTGTATTATATAGCACATTTTTAGTTTGTCTCAAATCTGCAACTGACTATTAGCCTGTGATGGAAGAAACAGGAAAAACATACTTACATTTCCTGTAGGTTTGGGAAAATCGAGTTCATATGAATAAGGGTGGTCAATTTGTTATCACGCAGCAACAGTTTTTTCATCTTTGTCATGTTTGGTTCAAAAGATACAGCAGTGAAACTTTCTAATACATTGCCACTTAGGTCCCTGTTAATTAAAACAAAATGACTTTTACTGTACAAATCCTTGTGCTACTGTATCTACCCAGCTAGAGTACAGTCCTAAAGTTTATAATACAAATGCCATACTAGAGAGAAAACATCAAATTATGCATCATTAAAAAATGTTTGTGAATATTTGTACTGTAGATCTGAAGATCTGCAAACTTTCAGGGACTGGGTCATTGGTCATAATGACGTAAATGCTACATATTGCATTCGTAAAGAGCTCAGCAGTTAACTGTACATTACATGAGCATTTAGGGACTACTGTAGGTCATTGCTCATAATGACGTAAACGCTACATATTGCATTCGTAAAATAGAGAGCTCAGTTGACAATTGGGTGGATCATAATTGGGAGATGCTAACTGTACATTACATGAGCATTTCAGGGACTACTGTAGGTTATTGCTCATAATGACGTAAACGCTACATATTGCATTCGTAAAATAGAGAGCTCAGTTGACAATTGGGTGGATCATAATTGGGAGATGCTAACTGTACATTACATGAGCATTTAGGGACTACTGTAGGTCATTGCTCATAATGACGTAAACGCTACATATTGCATTCGTAAAATAGAGAGCTCAGTTGACAATTGGGTGGATCATAATTGGGAGATATTAACTGCATATTACATAAGCATTTTAGGGACTCCTGTAGGTCATTGTTCACAGTGACGTAAACCCTACATACTGCATTCAAAAATAGAGAGCTCCGTTGACAATTGGCTGGTTCATAACTGGGAGATGTCAACTGTACATTACATGAGTATCTCTATACACAGTACTGTATCGAGTTTTTAGAAGGAAAAACCAATTATTGTATACTTACAAATTTGTTAGGTTCCTTAAATTTTTGAAAGTATTATCAGCTAAAACTTTAAGTTGATTATCAGCAAGGTTTCTACATATAATCACCAAATAAAAAACTATTAGATCATTTTAAAATTAAAATATTGAAACTAATATAATAAAGTTATTGATTATGAAATTGAAAATTTGATATATCTAATCCATAAAGCAGCTGCAGGGAAGCAATTTGCCGCAGTGGGAATGGCTTTGTTTCCCAACCACGAGGTCAGGATTTTAATCCCTCGCTGTGAATTTTGCTTGTGTTCTTGAGCAAAGCACTTTATCTGCATTGTTTCCCTCCCCCAGGAATGTAAATGTCTACCTGGTGGGGTTGCTTGCTATTGCGCCAATATGGTAGCAACACTTGAGTTTGTCAACCCAATGACCAGGGAAAAAGTGCTATACAAATACCAAGTAACAAAATAACAGGGCTGTTTAATAACAGGGCTGTTCTCTTTGGCATTAAACTTTGTGTAGAAGAGGATTATTGGGTATTTATTGGTTGGTATGCCATGTTATTATTATATTGTAGATAGGTAGCACAATTTGTACATTTGGCTTCTTATAAGTACAGATGAAATTGATGGGGTACATCACAGATTCACAAAAAAAAATTTTTTTTTAAAGTCTTTTCATTTAAAAAAAGAGGAGATAAAAAAAAAGAAGTAAATCACATAAAAGGTTGTATAAGCTATTACACCGATACTTTGCAAATATATTCATCAAATATACAGTTTTAGCTTCAATTCCAGAAATAGGATTTTGGCACTACACTTCTTCATCTATTAAAACCAGACAAAAACATCTAGCAAAATAATGTAACATTTTAACGCTAAGATTCTGTTAATAAAGTAGTTGCTGTTGGTTTCATCAAGATTTAGTGGATTAATGAGTGTACATATAAAATAAATTAAAATGTAAGTACTCACATTGTTTCAAGATATTTAGCTCCATCAAAAGATCTGTTATTCAATTTAGCAATTTTGTTATTGCTAAGATCCCTACAAATAGAAGTACACAATACTAGCTTACAAAAAAGTCACAGGTTAAAATAAAGCTCACATATTCAGTTACATATATGTGAGCATTTATGATGTTTTGATCAAAATTACTGATTATAATTAAGAATATTAATTACATAAATTAAAAGATAGAAGTCACAAAATGAGCCTTAAAATGTTTTTAATGCATGTTGGGTGGTCTAATACTGGATTCACACAAAAGTAAAGGTATTAATTATAGGATTACAATCTAATACTGGATTCACACATTTCACTGTTCCCTGCACAAAAGTAAAGGTACTACTTGTATATATAGGATTATCTGTTCACACAAAAGTAAAGGTACTACATTTTTATCTGTTCACACAAATGTAAAGGTACTATATATAGAATTATCTGTTCTAATAATTCCCCACCGAGACTCACCATCACTTTGACATGATTAAACAAGCCTTGCTTAAATTTGATACAATTGTACGCAGACAGTGAAAATATGTCCGATGCCAGAGTGGAAGCTGCATGCTTGCTTGAGAGAGCAGATTAGCTCAACTAAACTGGTGGTAGCCACTGTGTGTGCGCTGAACGTGGAGATCTCTAGATCCCCGGTTCAATTCCAACGCCGCTCTAATTGTGTTTCAGCTGCAGGGCTGAAATATAGTTACGATAGCTCACCATCTTTCAGATGAGATGTTTAAGCCATTATTTTGTGATGTCTGCAATGTGAAGTGTACTGTACGATTCACCACCAGAAAGACCCCACTAGAAAGAAGTCTTCGGACTTATCTGGTTGTCCTTGGTGTGATACACACTGAATACCATGCACATTACATGTTTTCTAAAATCTTGGGAACTTTACAGGTTTTCTCGTTGATGTATTTTTTTTCTTACAACTAAATTCCTTATTATTGGTGTCATGGTGCAAGATATTTTTTCCATGTAATGGTGCAAGATATTTTCTATGCGTGTCATTGTGCAAGATGTTTTCTACATGTGTCATGCTGCTAGATGATTTCGTGTGTCATGGTGGAAGATGTTTTCTATGTGTCATGTTGCAATATGTTTTCTACATGTGTCACACGAAATGTTTTCTATGTGTGTCATGTTGCAAGATGTTTTCTGTGTCATGGTGCAAGATGTTTTCTATGCGTGTCATGGTGTAAGATGTTTTCTACGTGTCATGGTTTCTACGTGTGTTATGGTGCAAGATGTTTTTCACGTGTGTCATGGTGCAAGATGTTTTCTACACATGTCATGGTGCAAGATGTTTTCTACGTGTGTCATGGTACAAACTGTTTTTTACATCTGTCACAGTGCAAGAAGAATTTTATGTGTCATGGTGCTAGATGTTTTGCATGCATGTAATGGTGCAAGATGTTTTGCATGCATGTAATGGTGCAAGATTATTTGCATGACTGTAATGGCGCTAGATGTTTTGCATGCATGTAATGGTGCAAGTTGCTTTGCGTGCATGTAACGGTGGTAGAGGTTTTGCATGCATATAACGGTGGTAGATGTTTTGCATGCGTGTAATGGTGCAAGATGTTTTGAATGTGTGTAATGGTATTAGATGTTTTGCATGCATGTAATGGTGCAAGATGTTTTGAATGTGTGTAATGGTACTAGATGTTTTGCATGCATGTAATGTAGAAGTTTTGCATGCATGTACAGTAATGGTGCAAGATATCTCTAAATAAACTAGTAGGATCCATGCTGACTTGGACCTTTTTGCTAAGATGTGGTCTGAATCGACCACTGTTGTTTACTTACAGATTCACAACAAGTGAGTCTTTTCTTATAGCTCCTGATGCTACTTGTGTGAAATTGTTTCGGCTGAAAATCCTGTATATTAAAATGGAAAAAAAACTTGTGTGTTAATATCATGATTCAAGGATAATTTTATAAAATGTATGGGAGAACCTCTACTAAAATATAAAACAAGTATTACTTTAATTGTTGTAATTAATATTAAATTATAATTAATTTGATTTCATTTCATTTTTACAGTCACCTGAAGACATTTTAGTTATTTTATTTATTAAACTTCTCACTTAAAATACAGTGAAAGAAACAAGTCAACAGGTGGCAAGCACAACTTTTACGACTTGTTCTTTTTAACTCAGTTCGAGGCGTAAGCATTATTGAGAGGCTATGCTTACACCAAAGCTACAAGCCTAGCCTATGTTTACGGCAAGGTGTGTTATTCACTAGCCATGTTTGGACGCCCAGATGCAGCTACTCAGTAGCCACTCTTCGTTGAGGCGTGAGCATTGGCTTTGCGTACAGTAGCTTCTACAAAGTTTTCCAAAAGAATAGACATTGTGATAAATTTTGGCAGGAGCTACATTATTCTGTGTACACTAGCCTACACTAGGCCTTTCTTACCCCAGGACTCGCCATCATAGTCGGAAAAAAATATTGCCCTGTTGGTTTGCTCAAGTTTGCCGTCTGTGATTGAACTTTGTTCTTGGATGGGTTTTTTTGTGGAACAGCCTGCCCGATTATGTATGCCTGCAGCATTAACCAGGATTTTCAAAAGCCGATTAAAGACTCATCTTTTTAATTCACAATAAACCACTCTTCACATGTGTTCGTCCATATTTTTCATTTTTGTTGGTTACTGTAGGTTTATAGTTACAAACATCATTATGACACACTGTGAAATCAATAGCTGGCCGGTCGGTGAAACAGTGTGACAAAGTATGATTCTATTTTTTTGTCTGTTTTGTCGGTTATCAGGGGAGGATTTAGGGGGAAACTCAACACCCTTTTGGAAGGTAAAAAATATGGTTGCCCAAAACGCCTCAATCAGACAAACTCAGAGGTTATTTTCGTTATATGCACCTACACAACATCTCTCACATTCGCCGCTGTCTCACGCTTGGACGCCACAAATTCATTGGTGCAGTCGTTGGAAAAATCTCGCATTGACTATTGCAAAGTCCTACTGTACGGTCTTCCAAATAAAACTCTTAATAAACTGCAAATTGTTCAGAATACAGCAGCATGGATTATAACTAAGACATCCCGATATGAACACATTATTCCAGTATTAAAAGACCTTCACTGGTTACCAGTACAGGCACGGATTAAATATAAGCTGCTTAACAAACAAACCTCTGCGATCCCAAGATTATTGTACTTTATGTATCAAATGGTGAGAGGGGTTTTGCAAAGGCCGCACCTAAGCTCTGAAATCATGATCTGCCGTATCAGCTCCCCACTGCTTCTTTATTAAACATTTTTTTAAAAAGCACTTAAAACGCAATTATTCATTTTAAATTAAAATCAATAACTAGTTACAGCAGCACTGTTTTTAATTCTGGATATATTTATGTCATATTTTTATATTTCTAATTTTTTTACTGTATTAATATATTGCAATAATATAATTGCAATATTGTAATTATTGCCTGGATTTGAGATATTATGCAATGTTTAGATTTTTATTGGTAATTTTTTGTAATTTATTGTAGCCCAAGGTTTTTATAACATTTTTTATAAAATCTTGTCAATCAATCTGTATATACTGGAGCCATATTTTTATAAATTATTTTTTACTGTATCATTTTATAAATATTATTGTAATTAATTTATGAATTTGAGATGTTCTTAATTGTTTATATTTTGATTGGTAATTTATTATAGTTTAAATGTAGCTTAAGGTTTTTATAACATTTCTATTATTAATTTTGCAATCTAATTACAGTATTTAATTAATTTGTATATCCGATAACTGTCATATTCTTCGAAAAAATGTATATTTTTGTATTCTATTTGTATCCTTAATGTAAAGCGCCTTTGAACATGAGTACTCATGAAAAGGGCGCTATAGAAATTTGGTAAATAAATAAATAATTAAATATATATATCATAATAACAGTGTTCGAATAGGAAAATATTATTCATATCAAGCATAGCTCAACGAAAAATTCCCTTATTTCAGTTGTAAGAAAAAGTGTCTCTGGTGGCATTCAAATTGCAACCTCTTGCTATAAAGGCGAGTGTCGTACCCATTAGACCACTGAAACCTACAGGGTATAGGCAAAGATCAAACCCCCAGACACTTTCTCCCATCTGACTGAAACTCTCACAGTGGAGCTGTGGTTAAGCTAGAAAAGCTTGTAGGTTGCAGCATAGAGAAAATAGAACAGTTCTATATTCTCTATGGTTGCAGATAATTAATCAAACATTTATTCAGATGTGTTTTAAATTTTTAATAGAGGGACCCTGAACATCAGCTGGCCTTCTTGGTCCAGTTGGAAGGGTCACCCTCTATAAATAGAGTTAGAAGAGGAGAAGTAGTAAATAATATTCAAATCAAGTGTGCTTAGCACTGTAAACACAATATAAACAAACAGATAAATAATAACAGTGCTCATATAGGAACATGGTGTAATAACCGAACCAAGCATAACTCATCTTCTTAAAGACATGAGTTGGTAACCAGTGAAGCTGTGAGAGTAAGGGTGCAACATGGTCAATTTCTACGCTCGGAAAATGAGTTTGGACCCGTTTTATTTCTTTATCAATGAACCATGAAGTAAAAAATAGAATAAGAATAATTGAAACAGAAAAGTATTGAACAGTGTACAGCATTGTGGCAAACATCTACGTATTCTCTGATTTTGGAGATATTTCTGAGGTTGTAGTTAAGTGATTTTGATAATGATGTAATGTGATCTGATTTGATATAAATGTAAAAAATGAACTGAATTAGACTGTATTAGGTTCACTTTTTTCATTTCATAGATGTTGTTATAAAACCGTATTAACAATACAAGGTTTAAATGAGACTATGATGTATGTCTAGGTCACAAAGTGAATTTTTGATATACCATGATGCACCTAAACTTTCCAGCGTGCTTGCAAATACCTTCATGCAGTGCTTTTTACAGCTGTTTTTTTGCTCAGTTTTAACATCACTTTTTATGATGATGGCCACTGGGACTTAAATGCAAGGGGTGCTAGCCAAAAATATAAATATTAGACAGGCCACCTACCCACACAGGGCTTTTAATATATTTTCGCAGGCCGCAACAAAACTGCCATCGGGCAGCATATGTCTTGGCGGGTGCCCACTGTGATTTAGGTGGATGGAATTTCCAGCCATGATCACATATGTACAGTATTAGAGCCACCTTAGGTTTACATATGTTAGATAGTTATTATTTCATTTAGTCTTTCAAACATTATGTACACAAAAGAAAGTTACAATAAAAACCAAACCAACCAAATCACTGCAGCTAAGACAGTTGACACAACCCCGAATTCAGTTAATTATTGATTGATGACTGATTACAAAGAAATCAGACAGACCTTATTCAATTTGGAATATTGCAAATCAATTTATTGATGATATTAAGGATATTTGTACAGTGGTTAACATAGCACAAAACAACAAGATTACAAACATGGAATAAGTTACACATAATTACATATTCACAACTGTATAGATAAAATGGAGCAAGAACAACCAAGAATATAATTATTTACAATTAGCTTGGCATTGATACTTAATAGCTATAATATCACATTTTAACTGGTAATAATATAATAAATGTAATATAATAATATTAATAACAATAAGATATATGTAGAATATAGTAATAATCTAAAAAAATTATAATATCAATAACTTACTGATCTAAGTTTAATACTATACTAAACACATATTTATATAACACATACAGTGTTGTATCCATCTTACTGAAATTATTTCAGTGACAATGTTCACTCACATTATCTCTTTAATCTTGGCTAATCCTAAATATCTGAAGATGATTCTTATATTAGCTTCCATTTGAAGCTAATTTTATTTATTGCATCCTTTATAACTTCATTAACGATGTATTGTCCCTTGCTAATGTCAAAAAATCATAAAAATAATTTTGAAATAAACTTGCTCATATTGCAATGTTTCTATCATTTTTCTCTGTAAACTGATGGGTAGACATTTTTTAAATACACCAATTTCTATGTTCAACTTGATAACTTTCATGTTACATCAAAATGGGCAAGTTAATTTCAAAAAAACATTTTATGATTTTTTTTTTTGTTATTTAGCAAGGGACAATACATCTTTAATAACTGTATGTTTTACTAAAGTATAACTGGAAGCATACAAATAGTACAAAATGTAATTAGGGCTATTTACCTTCTTTATTTTTTATCCAAAATTATGTTCAATAGCAAAATGGCAAATGTAAATATAAATAATTATAAAATGTGAAAAAAATGTACTTCAGGAATGAATAAATACAAAGAAACAAATGATTGAGTTGTAAACTAATCTAAATCATATCATTATTGGATACAAACAATCACAAGTACTTAGCTTATGTTATTGCTAATGTTTTTTTAAATACATATCTGTTCCAAAATAAAATGTATAAATCTCAATAAAAAAAAGGACTAAAAGCATGGTATGTATTCTTAAAAAATGAAAAGCTCCTACTGTAACATAAAGATGCTATCTAACAGAATACCAGGATATAAACATACTCTTCTCTTTAAATGGTGAATACAGTATTTTTTAGTTTTGTAAAACACCTTTTCAAATTTGTAAATATTTCTATACACACAACCTGTTAATCTTATTTATTTGGTATTAAGTTTTTTTTAATGATTATTAGCAGTTTCTCCCATAGACAGATACCGGTGCTATATAAGTGCTCAATTATTATTATTAATTTATATAAAATTGTTGAAATGTCACTAGCCACATCAATATGGCTATGACTTCTAACTGACATGATTATGAAATGTTACAAATACTGCTGTATGTAGCTCCGTGTTGCATAATTAGTAAAATGGCCATAATTTTATCCCACATATTATTTTAACCTATTCTGGCACAACTGACTGAATTCTCATTTCTCCTAGATTCCGAAAATTATGCCACTGTGGTCTGTAAATTCCTGATGATGACATAATTAATGTCGAAATATTGAATCCCGATACGATGGAGTGCATTTCGATACTTGGAGTTTCATATGTGGTCTGTAACTTTATTCATATTCACATCCATAATTAGTAGAATACTAATTGAGCTTTGGTTAGGTCATTCTCAATGGCTTGTAAGTGTTCTTTGTTCTGCTCTTCATCACCGATTAATAGTGTTCTCAACCATTCTTTGGCAGTCTTTAGGTTATTGTTCTTTGCTAACATATTTTTCCTCATTCTGCGGCCAAAAACATCCCAGAAAGGGTGTCCTAAATTAGGGTTTCCACTGTAAATGATTTAATCCCTCATTCGTCAATCTTCCATTCCCCAAGTTTTTTTTCATTTTTTTTCACATTACCAATGAAATGTTCATAAAAGCAACCCTAACGTTTGAATACAAATCAAGTCACAGAATACAATTACTGTATATAGATAATAACTTGACATCAATCTACACATTAATTATATAAAATTTGACATTATACCATCTTAGGTATTTTATCATACAAGTTATTTGTGCTACAAAATTTTATCAAATTGGAAATCACATCTACATACAAAGGGTAAAAGTGCTAAGTATGCAGAATTTGTGGGCAAGATTATACATCATTATTATGATCAAAAATCAAAAGCAAGGCCAATCCTAACAATGACATCACAGGAACCTTTAAATGCTGCCCTCTAGAGAGCTATTAAATATTATCACAGGAGATGGAGGTTACAAATACTAGTATGTAAATAAGATGTCATTTGTGCAAGAAGGGTGAATGGATGTTTGTGGGGGGTTTTGAGCAGAAGACATGGGTGCACAAACACCCAACAAATATTCTACTGCAATAGTAAGTGTAGTAAACAATAGATATGATATCCGAGTATAAAATCCAGCACTGAACAAAAAAAAAAAAAATTTCATATATAAATCATCAGCTGTTTGAAAATCACTTGACATATTAAAAATTTTTTGTGTAAAAATCTAGCAGAATTTAAAGGGTTTAAATATTCTATGGCACAACACATGGCAAAGAAAAGGCAAACATGTTAAGCCTCTGTTTTAATGGCAGAATGTTAATGCTAACAAGATTTAAATAGTAAGAAAAAAACAGAATCTAAAATTAAACAAACAAGACAACAAAGCCTGATGGTTTGTTTAATTTTTTTGCTTATGAAACCCGTACATTTAATATCCTCATCAAATTGACAAAATTAAACAAGGAAACCTGGAAACCACTGATCTCTATTATAATGGAAGGATTGCTCATTGGACAATCATTGGACAGAAAAAAGTGAAGCCACCGACGCCATAGGAGAGAATGGCGTGCCCAAGTGACGTACCAGTCTAGACAAGTTATTTTTTTGGTATTTGTTTAAATTATTGTTAAAAATAATGATTCTTGCAATACATTTTTAAAAATTTTACGAAAAGACTTTTCAAATCATCTAACCATTTAAAGTACCTGTTTGTGCAGTTTATAGAAGCACAAGCAATGAAGAGTTGTTGGTGATCATCACACCGGTTCAAAGGTTATGCACTGTGATGACGTGTTTGTGACGTTCCCCAACATATCAGTGGCTTCACTAAAACCAGGCAATGAACAATCCAGCCATTATTCAGGAGATCAGTGCTGGAAACACGCAATTTAGTTCAACTTGACATGGACTGTTTCTTGATGCTCTCATGCAAAGCCACAACACTTCATTAAAACATTCTGAAAACTGATAATTTACTATGGATATTGTGAAAAGCGGTCAAGTGACCAGCCGCCATGTAACCAGCAGACATGTGACCAGTACTTTGAGGTCAGCAAATTATGTGTCTGGCAACATTCTTCACTTTCTTTTCAATGAATTTGACTTATGAGTAGAATAATGTTACCTGCAAGAAACAAGGACTTACAGTTGAGAACATAGTCACACACTCCAGCAGGAATGCATGCATTTAAGAACCCATACCTGCACCTGCATCTTCTTTAAAGGATAATTATCGTTTTTATGCTCATTGACAGCTTGTCAAACTGCCAACTTTCCTCTCATCAATTTGCCTTGACTCTTCATGAGGAGATAAAATTATCTCATTGCAATTGGTAAACATAATGTATCTTATTGTCTCATACAATGTCATCAACAAATGATGTATCAAGTTCTTGTATTAGAGTCCTAACGAATGACATTTCTTTTCGTGCATTCTCAAATATGATAGTGGGATCGTCTGAATCGCAGCGTAAACAGTTTGGCGCCATCACCATTGCCAGGTTATTTTCATCCATCTTAGTTGAGCTTACTGTTTCTTCTTTGACAAATTTCTGGTAAATAAAATTTCACAACTTATTAGTAAAATAGATGTGCAATGAGACTGTACGATCAAGACATTCTCAAAAGTATTGAGTTATTTAAAACATACTTTTATGATATAAAAGTATGAATATTACATATCATATGTGTATTTTGGATATAGTTTCATTTATATTTTGCTATGATTTAATATTGTTTAAATCCTTTTGAATTAATTTTTCAACTTGAAATTGTTTGGCTCACATACAATGTGACTTTTGGGCCATGACTTGTGACCAATTTTGAATAAAAGTGAAATGAAATACTTTTTGAAGTTAATATTGAAGGATAAAGAGATGGAAATGCTTGAAATGCTACATAAACTGTATCAAGGATGAAGTAGTGGTGCTATATTAATCATAAGCAGCTCAGTTGGCTAATCTGGTGGTAGCCACTGTGTATGCGCTGAACTGTGGAGATCTCTAGGTCACCAGTTCAATTCCCATCGCTGCCTGTCCTTGTGTTTCAGCTGGAGGGCTGAAATACAAGTTACAATAGCGCACCGTCTTTCGGATGAGACGTTTAAGCCGTTGGTCCTGTGTGCATTTATGGCCCATGTGCACGTTAAAGAACGCTGTACACTCTTCGGAAAAGAATAGGGAATTGTTTCCCGGTGTACTGCCCAATCACCACCAGAAGGACCCTACTGGAAATAAGTCTTCTTCTAGACTCTGTGGGCTATCCTTGGTGTTTACACTGAATAAATCAAATCCAATCCAATAAAATTCTAATAAAACAATGTGAGGAGATGCAACATACCTGTAAAAACCGTATGAAGTAGCACAGAACCAGTCGGTTGATTTCTGGTAGTTGGCTAACAATATGTAATGCCTCTTTTGTGTTCTTGCAATCGATACAACGTTCATAGAGTTCAAATGGTATGAGGGGCTCGTACAACTCACGGTACCACAGTTTGAGTAATGATGCTGGTACATTGGGATCCTTACATGATGGTTCCATCCATGTGTCACATTTCACTTTGAGGGCGTTCACCTCATCAATGTCGCCTGGTATTCTGATAATAGAATGTTTCAAACTTTCATTTCAATATCATTTCACTTATTGGATTATATACACCAACATAGATAAATTATTATCATTGAATTGAATAACACATAATATAAACAAAATTATTATTTCCATATTCAACCAAGTTTTCCATATAATATGTTTGTTGATAGTGATTATATAATAGTAGATGTTGAGAGACGAAAACTTGATAAGGAGTGTTGATGATAGTGGGAGAATAGTTAGTTTCTACTGAAGAAGTTATCCAGTATCTAAGACAAAAAAATAAAGAAAAATAAAGATTTAAAATAACTATTTACTTGAGCAATGAAAGATGACATATGAATCGAAACAGAATGCCCAGTGATATCGCTAAAAGGTCATACATGCTATAATAAACACTTTTGCACAGAGAGTCTGTCAAATCAATGTGATCAATATATATAATACCTGAATATGCCTTCAGTTTTGTCACCACCTAGCTTCAGAACCTCTTCTGACAACACAGTCACCACCCATGGAATCTTGTGCTCTGGAAACCTCTCCTTCTGTAACTCCATGACTTCATCCAGCATACTGCCAAACATTGATGGATGGAAGACAGATCGCTGCAAAAAACCAACAGAATTAATGACTCTTAAAAATACAGCCACTGTAAATTGAATGGACATTGTAAGAATACTGCATATATGAAAAAAACAACACATTATTGATGGACAAGCCAATGTAAACAAAATAAAAATTCAAATGATCAGTAACATTCTTATTTAAATAAATATAGTTGTAATCTTCATTTCTTATATTTATTTAGCTATTTCAATTTCTTCAGGAGTAATTATATTTGGTTTATTTACCTTAGCTGTTTCAATTTCTTCAGGTGTAATTATATTTGGTTTATTTACCTTAGCTATTTCAGTTTCTTCAGGTGTAATTATATTTGGTTTATTTACCTTAGCTATTTCAATTTCTTCAGTTGTAATCTTTTTGTTCCCCTTTCTTGCTCCTGCTTGTGAAATCCTTTCTAGCTTTCTCATGCTGTATGCAGCATATCGACTTACTTCAACCTAAAACATATGAATTGTTGAAAATATTTTACACTTTACCAGTACATGAATTGTTATCAAATTAACATTACACATAACGCCATGAGGTTTACTGCTCCAGGGGTGGGAAATGTTTGAGACAGACTGTATTACTCCTCCCCTTTTGCAAATTGTTTTAATTTGTAAGGAAAACTTTCATTTTTTTGAAGGATTTGACAATCTTCCAAGTCTCATTATTCCCCAACCTTACAACTTCCTAAAGCACATCTTTTTCTAAAGAGAGTTAAATACGAAGGTCTTAATATTAACAATGGATACAATTAACTAGTGATTAATGGCACTTGCTTGCATATTACTCATACAGTTTGCTTTTGGCAATGGTTTCCCATGGCCCTCAGCAATACTGGCTAGATAGCTTCCTTATCAACATTAAGGCCATGTATCTTAAGGAGCTATGGACTTTATAATTTAAGGGTGTTCCATACTTTGAATATTTTGCAATGATTTTAATTTAGGTTATTCTGAATTTTGATAGGTATTAATCACTTTATAAATTAATATGTAACTTTGACAATAATCATAACATTTAATAATGCTGTTATTTTACATTTTATTTATTTTTTTACCATCTTTACAGGGTGACATATTGCAAAACACCTGATACCAACAATTAGGAAGAAAATTAGTGAAATAAATATACTATTGTTAGTTGTGAAAGTAATACAATTTATTTGTTTAGTTGTATCTTCAGAATAATAGGGACACCCAATAACTTGTGAAATAAATATACTATTGTTAGTTGTGAAAGTAGTGCAATTCATTTGTTTACTTGTATATTTTGAATAAAAGGGACACGCAATAACTTGTGAAATAAATATACTATTGCTAGTTGTGAAAGTAGTACAATTCATTTATTTAGTTGTATCTTCTGAATAATACAGACACCCAATAACTTTTGAATTATTGCCGTGGTATTGTTGTAAAACTGCAAGTTATCTAGGAAGCTAGACTATATTTATATTTGGCTGCCCTTCACAACTAAAAGGAGAGGTGCAATGCGAAGTAACAGCAACACATTTGACTTCACTGATGAAAATGTCTCTTTCTGAATAAATATACTCACTTTTCTTGTATCGAAATTTCCATCTAAGTGTTTGTAGATGTAACCCTCTAGGTAAGAATAGAATCGACTTGATGGCGGAAAGATTGACAAACAAACAGCAATGATTTCCCAACCCTTCATCAAGCTGTCACTGTAAAAACAACAAGATACAAAGTGTTCAAGATTGCACCAAAGGAAACGCGCGTCAGGTGATGAGGAACTGCTTTGAGATGGATATCTTAATGTGTTTTAATACTTTCTACAAAAACAAGTATGACAACACAACCACACTTAACTAAGTATTGTTTGAAGGTTTGCATGGCGAATTAATAACATATATGTTTAAGCTTGCGGTACACAAAGTAGGTAAGTTCTGAAATTGAGAAAGTCTGGACGTTTCGACTGTGTTGCAACTCAATTGAACTTTGAGACTTTCTCAACTACAACAGTTCTTTTCAGAACTACCTACGTGGTGTACCGCAAGCTTAAACATATATGTCACACTTAACTACAAAACAACAACACCCTTGGTCATAAGACAATGAGTAACAAATCATATGAAACGATGGCTTGCAATGCCAAAATATAATCAAGATCTCTGAAATGTAGTAAAAATAGCTCTTATTTATATTTTACCCTGATAGCTAGCATGGTATATTTCACTCACACTAACAATAATATACATTGATTTTAAAACTCATTCATCTTGCTTTTTTCATGGTTTAACATGAAAGAATAGCAATATTAATAATTGAAATGATAAATACATACTCTCTGCGATTGTCTGTGGTCTGTTTGCATAATTGTATAAATATTTCATCCCGTAACTTTGGTTTCTTCCAACCACGTGTTGTTAGTTCTAAGATGGCTGTCTCTCTTGTAAATCCTTTTAATTTTTTGTCACTCATGTAACATTGAATCAGTGAGTAATTAGTTAAGTCAAATAAATTAAAATAATGCAAAATAATAAATAGTAATCACATCAAGTACCTTGACCTTAAAATAACATTGTCAACATCTTGGTATATTATTTCTAAGCTTAACTTCACTTTACAATGAGTAACATTTCACTACCTAGGGTATGCCACATGAAATATCACATTGTGATTCCACTATCATCAATGATATGCCATTGTATATTTCAATATCTAGGGATTATAGGATATGCCACATGGAATGACACTGTATGTTTTACTATCTAGGGATTCTAGAATATGCAATATGTAATGACATTTTAGGATTTCATATTGGTCTAACAGTGCCTGGTGTACCTAATACTGTTTTACTTAAGTTGATTTTCTTTTAAGTTTCATTTTGGATGTAGATGGTGACTCTTCTAGTTCATCTCCCAGTAGGTTGGCTGGCGATATACAGGTCCCTCTTTCTCGTCCTAATAACTCTTACTTATGATAAACGTTATTAAATTGTTCTTTTTAATGTTGTTAAATGCTAACATTATTGTATTTTATCATTATTTATAAAGTGCCTTTGACACTAGTAATGATCTATATAGAATGTTAGTAATCCTTGTTTTTTCTTTCTATCCATTGTTTTTCCATGGCTACAACATATCTCTCCAACTTTCTAGGCCTGGAGAATTGTAAACATCCCACTGAAAACTATTATAAATGTGTAATTATGTAATAACATTTTTTCCAAAGGATATATTTAAATGACTCCAATCCCTCACGTTTCACTTCCTTATCCCTGGTCATCAACATTGGTTTCTTGATAGGTTCCTGAGATAACAAAAAATAGCATACAATAAATGAATCTAACTAACATATCTACCGTACTATTTTAAATTTATAGTATTATGAATATTTTACTTTATTTATTTGTTACTTATTTATTCATTTCATATTTAAACTTGTATATATATCTGTTATTTTAAATATATATGTATATGTGTATGTGTATGCTTGTGTGTATGT